GAAAGTATTAATATTTCTTTCTACGTATCTGTATTTTATTTTTTCTGATTACTTGAGTAAACAATCATGGAAATATTGGTAGACAGGTCTTGCTTCATTTCCTGAATGGTCTCCTGCCGGTTGAGAGTGTGTTCCATGCAGTGGTGTGTGCTAAGATTCACTCGTGAGGATCTCCTCTCTCAGCACTTGGGCCTGTCATTGTGTCTACTAATTCCCTGTGTATTTTCTCCCTGGGCTCTTGCACCTGACTCTCTACTTTACTTGGAGGACCCTATAGGTGCTGCTACTAGACTCTCATTCTTCTCACATGCTATTGTGCTAATTGTTTCAATGGTTTTCCTCTTCAACAAACTGTGAGCCCAGGGGCATGAGCAGGAGCAATCATATCTTATATATATAGATCCATAGTGTTTGCCTAGGAGCTTGACACATCCTTAGTCAGGAGTTATGAACAGTTACGTGACTTCTAGCCACCTGCATTACCTGGCCAACACAGAGTTAATAAATGAACTTGAATGCCTTTAGGTGGGCCTGACCTCTGCAGTTTGTGAAAGTCTCTATTTTTTTTGGATGTACCTAGTCACACATTTATTTCACCAGCCTGGCTCCTGTGAGCATCCTTGTTTGTGGCCCTCATGGTAGCTACTCAAACTATGTAAGTTATGTAGGCGAATGTGTCAATGAATGTACATCTAAAATTATTATTCGAATAATCTGGCCCTGAAAATTCCTTTGGTTCCATCTCAGACTTAACAAAGGAAAGGTGAAAAAATATGACTTTGTTACACAATGTACAAAAAAATCACTGCAGAGGTAGGCCACTCTGAGCCTTTTAGTAGTCAAATTAGAGAGGAAAACCAACTGGGTGGTGCTATTTGTAGAATTCAGGGGATGCAAATAAACTAAGTGTGTGGAAAAGCCTAGGTTTGCATTCTGGAGATGACTGACAACTTCTACCTTGGATCATCTTAAAATAAGAACCAGGATTTTTTTCTTTTTAAGATTTTATTTATCCATTCATGAGAGACACAGTGAGAGGGGCAGAGACACAAGCAGAGGGAGAAGCAGGCTCTCTGCAAGGTGCCTGATGCGAGACTCCATCCTGGACCCAGGGATCATGCCCTGAGCTGAAGACAGATGCTCAACTGCTGAGCCACCCAGGAGTCCCAAGCACCAGGATTTTAAGAACAATTACCTTGGCCAACATTCCAAGTGCAAATTCAACAACCCATTTCTCAAGACTGATTCTAAAGTCCTCCAAACTAGGGCCAATGACAGTACACTAGAGAACAATCCAACAAAGTGATTCTGTGTGGGGCCAGAGCAGTGCTGTACTGTATGAAATGATCTCTTGGTCTGATTTAATCTGGGGGAAAGCTTAAGCAATGAGCTCACTGGATGGAATTTGCATCACCAGACATAAAAATGTTGGTGTCGCGGGAGTAATCTTGAAGCAAAGATAAGCTTCACCTGAAAAAGTAAATTTGGGTCTGTTTTAATTATCTGATAAATGGGGGACTATGGCTCTAAGATTTACCCTACTATGTCTCCAATAATTTTAACTTTCTAAAAGCAACTATTACCAGATATTCATCTTGGCCATAAAAATTCTCCCCCTTGAAAACTATAATATATATGAAAATGTAACTTTGAGCAACTTATTACTTGTGAACATTTCCAGCTAATTAGCTTTGTTAAAAATACATCTGGGTATTTGAAATAATTTCTTACATAGGCTTATCATTAATAAGACAATTAAATGCTGGTGTTGGTTGGTTTCAAAGAAAGATTTTATAATAAGTCTTCCTCTGAGTAATTAAAAAGTAAGACTCTTTTTCTGTTAGGACCACTCCTTTGTTTAAGAAACTGAAACCTGGGGATCCCTGGATGGCTCAGCAGTTCAGTGCCTGCCTTCGGCCCAGGGCGTGCTCCTGGAGTCCAAGGATCGAGTCCCACGTCGGGCTCCCTACATGGAGCCTGCCTCTTTCTGTTTCTCATGAATATATAAAAAAGTCTTTAAAAAAAAAAAAAGAAACTGAAACCTTACCAACCACTGTTTTTCCCCCCTTTTCTTTTCTTACCAACTGCAGGAAAATATGTAGCTAGTTAAGTGGCAGAACTAATTCTGGAGTGAGTCACCAAGTGTGGTCTCTCTACACCTGTCACTATAAAAAGGGGATATGTTTTCTATAAAGTGTCATGACAATTATATGTTAGGAAGAAACCAAACAGAAATACAAAAACAAAGATGATTTGAACTAACAATAAAAGGGATGCCATTTTCTCAAGGCCACGTAGCAAAGTGCATATGCTTCCTTCTGGCATAGGCTAAACACCTGCCACTTGGATAGTAGATTACATTTTGCCTTAACCATGATGTAGATTTCACCTCCTGGAAGGTCTAGGTCTAGATATTTCTATTTCTATTGTTTTTCTACTTCAGCTTTTCTTTTGCCTCAGAAATGACAAGAAGCACCAACGCAGGAAAATGTAAGTGATGCTAGGTATGAAGCTTTTATGTCACTGTTAGCAGATAGTGCAAACCTTTTTCTTAGTCATTCAAGGAATTCGTACTCCTAAGATGAGCTCTGAGTCCTCCAAATAGAGCTGAGCTGGACTGGACTGACCGTATGGCCAGCTCTGGTGGAATTGTATAAGGAGTCCTGTTGTGATTCCCCAGAAGCAGAGAAGAGTTGGGGCTTTAGATTCTGTGCTTTTACAGACAGGATCCTCTCTTTTAGAAAAAGCTCTTTTAACTCCATGGGCAGAGATTCTCGGCAACTCTGAACTTGTCCTATTTAAATTACTGTTGCTCATTCAAACAGGCACAGTGACATTGCTAACATACCTCCACCGCAGCACTTCTGAAATATGACAGGTAGCATCAGCTGTGGTGGCAAAGGAGCACATGGGATCTGTAGAAGACACATCTTCCATTCAAAATGAAAAAGAAAGGTGAAATTATTACATCACCATGCAGCCAAGCATATGCTGTCTAGCATCTAAAAGCAATTAGATGCTTTTCCCTTCCTTGCTTTGACCTTCCTGAATGGTCTTCTGCCAGTTGAGAGTGTGTTAGGCACTCTCAGGTAGGCACTCTAATCTAAATGTGGACAGTGAGAAATCCCCACCTCAAAGATCATATCCACAATAGAGTTGTTTTTTTTCAGAGGCTACGTATCTTGATGTTCATGTGAATTAAGAAGGCAAAACAGAGAAATGGGGAGATTTTAATTTTTTTTTTAAAAAGTAACAATTCCGGGATCCCTGGGTGGCGCAGCGGTTTGGCGCCTGCCTTTGGCCCAGGGAGCGATCCTGGAGACCCGGGATCGAATCCCACATCGGGCTCCCGGTGCATGGAGCCTGCTTCTCCCTCTGCCTGTGTCTCTGCCTCTCTCTCTCTCTCTCTCTCACTGTGTGCCTGTCATAAATAAATAAAATAAAATAAAAAATTTAAAAAGTAACAATTCCAACAGCATGGACTGTGTCTATAAACTCGGTCCAAAACTTATTTACATCAAGAAATTCAATGTTAGGGCAGCCCTGGTGGCTTAGTGGTTTGGCGCCGCCTTCAGTACAGGGCGTGATCCTGGGGACCCGGGATCAAGTCCCACGTCGGGCTCCCTGCATGGACCTGCTTCTCCCTCTGTCTGTGTCTCTGCCTCTCTCTGTGTCTCTCATGAATAAATAAGTAAAAACTAAAAAAAAAAAAAAGAAAGAAATTCAATGTTAAAACAGCGTATTGAAAATTTACCAGCCAAATACATGAGTCCAGCTGCTGTCCTAAGTGCTTCTAGTGGTTACATAATGAAGTTAAGTTGGTTAAAGCAATGATGTTATTTCCTGGATGGAACATGCTAGAAAGACACAGGCGATATATTTGGACAAGTAAAACACACACACATACACACAAACCTTCAAGGAAGCTTTACAGAGGAAGGGATTGTGGTGAGAGATGAGGAGGTGTGACCTTAGATTTCTGTCTCTTTAGATGTTTCACTTTCTGCAGCATTTAATGATTGAAAATGCTGTTAGTCATTTTTTTTCAACTTGTGGTTGAGCTTTAGGAACCACAGAACAGGAACCCCACTGTGGCGGGAATTGGATGTAAAAAGCTTTTTTGTGTGTGGGTTCAGTTACTATTTTAATTCTGTTGTATTAAGTGGCAGTGGGCTTCCAAGATACGGTTGTTATTTCTCCTATTTACTGATCTTTCCCTCCTTCGTGTATCTTTTATTTTCCCTCTGGTTTCCTTCCTTCTCTAAGGCTAGAAATGCAGCCTGCAGGGAGACCCCGGTGGAAAAAGCCTAAATTTGCCATAGGCCTCAGGTGACTCTGCTTTGACGCTGCTTGTTTCATAATCGTCAGCCGTGTTATTTCATGGTTCTTTATTATTTTTAAAGGTCTTATTTATTTTTTTATTCATGAGGGACCCAGAGAGAGACAGAGGCAGAGACATAGGCAGAAGGAGTAGCAGGCTCCCTGCAGGGAGCCTGTTTCGGGACTTGATCCCAGGATCTTGGGATCACAGCCTGAGCCAAAGGCAGATGCTCAACAGCTGAGCCACCCTGGTGCCCCAGTTTCTTGGTTCTGAGGCTCATTTTCCTCATCTTAAAGCATGGATATTATAAACTGTTTCACAGGTTTGTGAAAATTAAATGTGGTCTCGTGTTAGATGCTGAATCCAGAAATCAGTGAGCGGTTTTGTTCATTTACTGAAAGCTGCTACTCTAAGTATTCTTCTCATGAAAGTGGCAGCTTTGCCTCTGCCCGAGTTCTCATGTGTTCGAAATGTTTTTTTTTTTTTTTTCCTGGTCCTCTCCATTTCTTACCATATCATTATTATCATTAGCCAACGTTTAATAAGTGCGGAGCATTGTCCTGGATACCGTGGTAAGTACTTTAGGAAAAGCATTTAATCATTTCTCAGAATCTATAGGATAGATAGCTATTATTTGAATCTCAATTTATTAAAGGCAAAGTGGAAATTCAGAGGCATCAAGCGAACTCCCGGGTTTATACAATCGGTTGCCAAGCCAGGACTTGGTGAGGTCTTCCTGCCTCCAGAGCCTAGGCTCTAAACCACCAATGACATCCATTGAACTCTCCAGCTCAGAGGCCACCCACTCCCGCAACCGTAGGCCGCCAGGTGTGTCCCACACCCAGGTTAGCCGCTCTTACTCTTGTATCTAATTTCTGCTGTTTCGTGGGGGTGGAGGAGTGTGTAGTCCTGACCTCCCGGGAGGCAGGGATCATACCCTGCACAATCTCCTCCTAAACCACCCGGCGCCTCGCGGGGCGGACTCAGTGCACAGCAGATACCCACTCCTCCATCGAGGGTAAAAGCAACTGACCAGGCAGAGATCAAGGGTAAATAAAGTGCGAGAAGGGAACAGCAGGAAGAGGAGAGGGAGGGGGCGGAAAAGGAAGGCAAGGACCGGCCATCGGACCCAGGCATCTCTGAGGGTCCCTGAGGGCGAGTAGGGGCGCGGGGCACGGAAATCCGGCCTCATCCTCCCAGACCAGGAACCAAGGCCCAGCAACGGAAGAGCTCAGCGCGTGGGGGGGGGGGGGGCGCCTGCACCCACGATCGCGATCGCGCGCACGTGGCACGGGTTCAGAGCGGGGCCTGATTCGGGCACCTCCCGCCGGGGCCTGGGGGGCTAACACGCAGGCCGCGCTCTCCCCGCCGACCCCGAGGGCGCGGCGGTACAACGGGCCGCCCCCGAGTGGAGTGTCGAGCGTCGGCGAAGACACAGCTCTCGGCAGTCGCCGGCCGGCAAGCCACACCTGTCCCCCTCGCTCACTTGGACCTCGGCTCCCAGAGTCCCCGCCAGCCCGCCGGGGCACGTCTTCCACCGTCCTCTTCTCGGGAGCCGAGCCGGACGAGGGGCTCGGGAGCCGGGCAGCGGCCGCCGCGGAAGGCGCTTAGGGGGAGGCGGCTCTTGGGTGACGCGCGGCCGCCTCCGCCCCCGGGAGGCGGGGCTGGGAGCGCGGCCCGAGGGAGCCCGGCGGCCCCGCCCCCGCCCCCGCCCCCGCCCCCGCCGCGCCCCGGCGGCTCCTGAGCGTGCGAGCGGCGGCCGCGGCGGGGCGGCAGGGGAGGGCCGCGCGCCGGACCCTCGGCAGCCCCGCGGGGCGCACGCTTGGACCGGTGAGGGCGGCGCCGGGCTCCCCTGGCAGGTGCGCGCGGGAGGGGCGCGGGGGTCGCCGCCGGCTCCCCCAGGACGGGCGTCTGCTCACCATCGAGGTGAGGACTTTGGGGGACCCTGAGGGTTCAGGATGGGAATTCGGTGAAGCCCCTTCCCGGGAGCCGCGGGTTCGGGGATGCACAGAGGTGTGCGGGAGCCCGGTGTCCTGGAGAGCGCACGGAGGGCTGGCAGCCCGCCCCAGGAATTCTTGGCTCTTTTAGGGACACACCCTTGGTGTCCTGGGGCGCAGTGCAGTCACCGCCACCGCCACCGCCGGGACGTCCTCCGTAGAAGTTAGACCCGCATTTGGAATGTGATGCGCTCCCCTCGTGGAGACCTGGAGGTTCAGCTTGGGTTCCTCGCGCAGACCTGGGCGCAGCGGCACAGGAGCAGAAAGCCTTGGGATGATTGTGTAGGTGACAGAGAGTCCTGCACATTAAAGACAAAAAAAAAAAAAAACAAAAAAAAAAAAACAACCCCCAAAAAGCAAAACCCAAAACACCAAAACCCAATACGGGGTGATAGTGGTGGTGAACTTGAAAGGCGATTGCTTCCGCATTTGTCCATTTGTCAAGCAAATGGGGCGCTGATGGCTTTCAGAGATGGTTGGGTTTCCATAAAGGGCTGAGAATACCTGAAGGAACTTCTGTGCGACGTCTGAGGGGGTCAGCGGCGTGTAGGCACTTAGGTAAGCGTGGACTGGAGGTTACGTTGGCAGGGGCCACTCAGAGTTAGTTACCCAACGGCTTCCAGGTGAACCTTGGAACTTTACAAAACCTGCTTCCCAACCCACTGAATGGGCAAACAGGTCTGTGGATTATGATTTACATTAGCGTTCATTTTTCTCTTGGGTCAGCAGCATTTCAATTCAATAAATATTTGTTGTATGCCTTTTAAGGAGGAACCTCTGCGAGAGCCGGAGCACAGGTGTTGATACAAAGGGGCCATTTAGGGCACTCGTTCTCCCCACAGGTGGGTGTTCCAAGAGAACAGTGGCACAGCAGCATCTCTTTAATCTATGGTTAAATGCATTTAAATGCAGGGAGAATGCGTGTCTTTGAAGAGTAGCCTTCATTAGCCTAGTCTGCCATCCAAACTGACTAGGACTACAAAATCATCTTTAAAATAAAGTTATTACGAATCCATCCTGTACCACCCACTTTATGCTGGGCACTTTATCTTGTTACATAAAATATACAAGATAGATGGCATGCCCCGTGCACAGGTGAGAAATCCAGACAGGGAGGAACCCAGCAGTTTGCTCAAGGTAATTAGTAAACCTGAGAGCTAAAGCTGGATATTTCTGAGTGCAAAACCCACGCTTTTTCACTATTCCATGGTGCTGTGAGACATACAGTGTAAATCTGGCATATTTAATGAAAAATAATTCAAATTTATATTCGTAAAGCAATCCATGTCGGTACAAGTGACCGTTATGAATAAAATGAGTATTGCTTTCATTCTGTATGTGTGGCTAAATGATGAACTTGTCTGGGACAAGAAGATGAACAGCTGTTTTCAAATATAAAATTTATTGTCTTCCTTCACTTATTTTTAAGGACCCAGTTTGTCCAAGTGGGATAAATCAGTAAAACTTTGTAAGTACACATGCCTTGTGTATAACACATTGAAGTAACAGTTAATTTTCATATTGTTCATATCCTTTAACATATTTCAGCTTGATTCCATTTCTTCCAGATGAATAGAAGCCCCTGTTGTTGCCTAGAAAGGACTTTGTATATGTGTGTGTGAATCTATAATCATGCATGAATGTATATGACACTTATTTTAAAAGATATATCTATTTTTCCTTATATCTATCTCTAGAAGTGTAGGGTACTGCAGTACACTTATTTGGGAAGGAATCCTAATATTCTTAATTTAGCCTTTGAGTGAATGATTCATGACAACTCATTACTTCTTTAGATTCCTGTAAACTGCAAAAGTGATTATCAAACTATAATTATCATACTGTGAAGAGTGAGAATGAAAATAGTCCTTAGAATTTTAAATAATATTTCCTGACATGGAGAGCACTTGCTTTCTTAAACCCTTCCTTATAATTGTTAGTAATTATGAATTGAAGGGTTTCATAATTAAATTATCTTAAGATATTGAAAAAAAAAGTGTCTTTTTTGGAGGAAGAGAGGCTTTTTGCCTGTGTTGGGAAGATCAGGTAAGATACATTCTGCGTGGGTTGTGTCTGGCACAATTTTTATCTTCTCTGTCTTCATTTGACAGTGAAATCGACAATACACCTTGAACTCCTCTAAGAGTATTTGAAATCCTGCCTAGAATGTGTTTATAGAAGCCTGCTTGGCTTGGTTAAGATTTTCTGATGAAGGGGCTGAGAGTGGTGACTTAGAGAAATTTTCAGAAAAGCCAAAGGGCCAGCGAATGTGGTATGTGTGAGATGTGAAATGGACAGATCTAGATTTTGTGACACCTGGAAGGCAAATAATTTGGGGATCCCTTTTAAGAAAAAAATAATGCAAAATTAGTGATGAAAGTGCATGCTTATTTAGAATGGAAAAAATAAATGATAATCATTTGCTAGAGGTTTCTTTCACTTTCTGCTGAGATCTTTTTTGGGCAGTTTACCAGAAATGCTTACATAAAAATGCTTCCTGATTGCAACCCTCTCTCCCTGAGAACACTCAGCATCTCCTAGCAGCTTGCAGCACTTGTACGGGCCTCTGCGAGCGAGAAACTAGAAGCTGAAGCTTCATAGCCTTCAAAGAGTAAGAGGACAGGTTGTGATTGGAGGCAAAAAACTCATGGTTCGCTGAGCAGAGTAGAGGCTGGTGGTTGGAGTGGGAGGGATACTAGGCTTATCGGGGACTCAGAACATTTCATATCTAGTGAGCAGTCTTGAGGGGAAGGCCCAGAACTGGCTTCTGGAAACTTACTTTGCTTGGCTCTCCAGGAATGCCTTTAGCTATTGGCTCTCCCAGTCATCATTTGTGGAGGATTTTCTTTTTCTTTTTCTAAGATTTTATTATTTATTCATGAGAGTCACAGAAAGAGAGAGAGACAGAGACACAGGCAGAGGGAAAAGCAGGCTTCTTGCAGGGAGTCTGATGAGGGACTCAATCCCAGGACTACAGGATCACGCCCTGAGCCAAAGGCAGACACCTAATCACCGAGCCACCCAGGCGTCCCCATGGAGGGTTTTCTATGTCCCGGGCACTGACTATAGGGAGGTCCTATTTGCCACGGAGCTCCTAGCCTCATGGAGCTGATTTTGTGATGGCACAATGGTGTCCTAGGTGCTGGCCTGGAGCCTGGAGAGCTCCTGATTGCTTGGGCTGAGTTTGGAATTATTGATGGAGTAACCAAGATGTAAGAATTCAGGGAGGGCCTTCTAGGCATGTGGAGGGCTCTAGAAAGCAGAGGTTTGGACCCACACACAATCTCCTCCAGGGATGCAGTGAGGGCCCTTAGTCTGTGCTTCTTCCAGACCAGCTGAATCCACACAGCTGGTTTTAACTTGTTAGAAATGCAGGTTCTCAGCCCTCATCCCAGACACTCTGAATCAGAAGCTCTGTGTCTGGAGCAGAACCGTCTGCATTTTAAGAAGCCCTCCTGCCGATTGCCATGTGTACTAAAGTTTGAGAACCGCTGCTCTTCATTTTTCAGAGAACCGGTAGGGCCTAGAATCCCCTGTGGCAATGCTAAGAGGGGAGCAGGATTCGTACTAATGCTAATATATTATGACTGTGATATGAGTATCATGATCACTGATATTTTTTGAGCACTCAGATTGTACTCAGATGTTGTGCTAAGCAATAGGCACTCTTGGAGACACCTGGGTGGCTCACTGGTTGAGCGTCTGCCTTCGGCTCAGGTCCTGATCTCAGGGTCCTGGGATCGAGTCCTGCATCGGGCTCCCTGCAGGGAGCCTGCTTCTCCCTCGGCCTGTATCTCTGCCTCTCTGTGTCTCTCATGAATAAATAAATAAATAAATAAATATATAAATCTTAAAAAAAAGGGGGCACTCTTTTAATCACAAATGGAACCCCACAATGCAGGGCTGTTGTCACTTCCATTTAATGTGAGAAAACTGAGGTCCAGAGAGACCAGGGTTTTGTTCTAGGGCACGCAACTGGAAAAGCCTTTGAGTAAGGATTCTGGCAACTTCCCGCTCTTTCTGCCTGGGCAAGTTTTCATCTGCATCCTTGT